TTTGCTGCCTGGCTGCCAGCTCTTCCTTTACACCAGCTGCTCAATATGATGATTATTACTCAACCTCTAAACTTCTATAATTCAACCCATTTTGCTACTTAGCTTAGAGTGTGAGAAGCTCATGTTTAGGTCACTCAGTTGTCCTGCTTCTTTAGCAGTTCATTATCACCCCAATAAACACAGTTCCAATAGATCCAAAGCACAAGACAGAAAGCTGCAGGAAAAGGGAAGAATTAGCCTGGTCTTTATGAGCCAGCTGCATCCAGCTTTCCTCCAGGTCCTACAACTGCACCTTTGAATCCCCTCACACTGCTCCCAGCGACCCAGGGAGTTGTAGAAGCAGAGCAAGATCCTCCTATGAACTGTTTGGGAGCCCTGGGAAAGGGGATGCCTTGTTCTGAGCATCTGCTGGGAGGATGTAGTGAATTATCCATCATTTGTGAAGGGAATAACTCCCAGGACTGGCAGTAACATAGAGAACATGTTTTATACTGGAGAACTTGCATAGGGTTAGGACAGGCTCTTCTGTGATGAAGGGACAATTAATCTTTCCTCAGCTGTTTTCTCTTAGGCAAAAATGCAGAAAGGAAAACCCTGTTTCATGGGCTACCCAAACTGGGATTTTGTTCCAGCTCCTTTTATCAGTGCCTGGCTATCATGGGTCCTGTCTGTTTCTGTCTCCCTCTGAAGACAAAGGTGGGACTTGCACTGCTGGCAGAACATGCTGCAGATGCCAGGGTTTACCCTGGCAATAAACATGTTTGCCATACCCAGGACACTGATGGCTGGACAGGAATTACTTTGTGCCACGCAGATGCATTTTTTTGAGACGTTTATTTACATGTTTGAATAATTCGTTACAACAGGCATGTGAGCAAGAAAACAGCCAGCATTAATGTCTGGCTTAAAAAGCAGCAGTTGGGGGCTGCTTCCAGAGACAATACTATGACCATGAACACAGGAAGGAGTGCTGGGTGATTCCACCAAAACACGCCTGGATTTTGAGCCCTATCACTTTCCTAATAGTAGTGAGATACTGGTTTTATTGTAAATAACCATGAAAGCTCTGTTTTGAGCTTTGAATCTCTTTGAAAACAGGCTGCAGAGCAAGAAACAGTTCAGCTGTCATGCACTGCTCTGTGTTGTGCCCCAGTTTTCACACGATGGGAACATTAAACTCCTTTCCTACATTAGCAGGTGTGTCAATAGGCTGCAGCTGATATTTTAGTCTGAGGAGTCAGGAAGAAAAGGTTGCACAGCACTGCACTGCAAATTCATTCACTCCCAAAGCCACAGCGGGAGACAGGGAGATGGGAATTAACCACAGCAGATGGAGACATAAAGCTTGGTTAAGTCTCCTTCACCCCCAACAGGCTCCTTTTCTCTCACCCTCCTCCCTGGTATATCCTGCAACAAAGCCTGTAACAATCACCAAAAAAGGAAATTCCTGAGCTCATTGCTTAACCAGGCTAGAAGATACAATCCGAACCTACGCCCAACAAGAGACTGGAACTGAGTTTGACTTTGGGGTTGTTTTTCAGACAACATGAGAAAAACACACGCACATTTATTTATTTATTTATTTATTATTTAGAGTGCAATAGCAGCAAGAAATGAAAGAAATCTGTTGTAGCACAGAAGAGAGCAGCACTGTTCTAAGAGCATGCTTGAAAATGGGGTTTATATTTACTGTGCTTGTACAATGTTTGGATTCCAGTTCTGCTAAAATAACAGCATACTGCAATGGCACACAGTGTACACACTGCTGCTGAATTAACAGAACTGGAGTGCTTGCTACTGAAACATGCCAATTTGCATAAAATTAGTTATGAAGAAAATGAAAATAAACTTAACCAAAGCTGTAAATTAAGATGTTGAGCCTTTGAGGCAGAGAATATCGTGGTACTGCTTCACCATCTGCTGAAGGAGTGTCCAAGTTCATTCCCACAAGCTGGAGATGATGTGGGAATTGTGCTTCATTACCAGTGGTAGCCTTGTACTGGATAGTGCCCTTATTTCAGAAAAGAGCTGGAATGGAGCAGGAAGCAAACTTTAGAGTGCCACACTTGCCATTCCCCATCATTCTTAACTTCTCATTTAGAAGCACTGTAAGGAGCAGTGTCAGCAGCTCCCTGTGGGCTGGGAAGGGTCATCCATGGGTCTTCTGAGAAGCAGCCCTGCCACCAAGAACAAGACTGATGTTATATCCCCTCTGTCTTGGCTGCCATCATAGAGAAAATGAGTCAAGGAGATCACAGAGATCGAGGAAAAAACAAGAGCTTGGGTCTCTCTGCCTGCTCCTGTTTGAAGTCACAGCATTTTACATCCTTGCTGCATGGTTCACTGAGTGCCAGGCACTAGAGAATCAAGCTCAGCTGCTGTAAAATGAATGTGAAATCAAAGTCTGGAAAGTCCAATAAAACTGAAGGTGTGCTACTACCTCCTACTACACGTGTTATCTCACACATCTCTGGAGGCGATGGTTTTTATTCCTTGCCTGTCTTTCAGAGTATGATGTAACAAGATGATTTGAGATAACATAAGAGCTTTCTGTCACAGAAATGGAGGACAATTTCCCACCCCATGTTCCCAACCTTCTCCTTTCCTTCTGCCTATGCACTCTCCTCAAAAGCTCTCCCTGATGCTCACAGGGCACACAGCACAGCGAGTTAACTCATTAGAAAGGCTGACAACTTAACAAAAAAACCCTGCAGTGATGTTTTTATGGGGTTTGGGGCTGCATTAGTTTGCTTGGCAATCCAGTGCCCAATGGTGGTGGCACAAGCAGTGAGAAGAAAAGGCTGCACAGCCAGTGAGGGGCTGGAGGAGCAGGGAGGGAAGAAAGGAGAGAGGGATGAGGAAGCAGGAATAGGGGTGAAGGAATAAAATCACCTTCTCCAAAGCAGTAATGTTTTAATTGCAGCATGGAACTGCATCCTTGTCTGAATTCAGCAAATTGCTTACAAATGAAAACAAATCAGCCTATTTTGCAGTCAGGCTTGTACTCACTGTAAATTGTAAAATGTGGTTCAGTTTGGAATATTTAAATATTCAACTCATTATAAATTGTGAAGTGTAGCTAAGTTTGAAATATTTAAATATTCAACTCATTGTAAAGTTAGCTTAGTTTGGAATACATAAATATTCATATATTCTGTGCATCAAATAAATCCTACGATTCTGGATCTTCTTTGCATGTTCTTAGAAATAATTAACAGGATCCAAAGTAATTATCATTCGATTGATTTTTTTTTAGTAAATGATCGATCTGGAAGAGTGAATTAGTAAATGACACCGCGTGTGCGGTGATGGGTCCCTGTCACCAAGGCCATTGCTGCCATCTGCTGAGAGAGAACGGCACAGAATCGGCCAAGTGTCGAAAAATCCTCCTTGTTGGCCATTCAGAGAGAAAATCCTGCAGAAGCGATGCCAGCAAGCCCAGCTCCAGCTGACCCGGTGAAAAGCTTACATCCCCCATGTTAACTTCAACTCCCTCTGGGAGAAAACGGAAAGAAAAGCAACGGAGCCCAACTGTGTGTCAGTTATGGTCAGATTTAGCGTATTCTGCTGCCGGAAGGCTGCAAACACTTCCCAGGGGGACCTCAGAGGTCTTTTTCAACCTAATTGATTCTGGCTTTCTGTGATTGCTGTGATTTCTGTGTCTCCCTGACGAGGGCCGTCCCCGCTGTCCCAGCACCCCTGAGGGACGCCGGGCTGGTCCCTCCCGCCCCCGGCAGGTCCTGCGGCCTCACAGCGGCTTGTGGCGAGGGAGCCCCGCACTCTGAGGGGCCACAGAACCCTGAGGAGCCACAGAACCCTGAGGGGCCAGAGAACGCTGAGAGATCACAGATCGCTGAAGGGCCACAGAACGCCGAGGAATCCCCGCTGCCCCAAGACGGAGCAGCCCCGACCCCGCCTTGACGGGAGTCACGCCCCGCGTGTGGCCCCGTCCCCGAGCGAGCTGAGTGGAGGAGTGCCTGACTGCTCTGCGGAACAGCCAATCAGAGCGCGGCACAGCGGGGCCGCCAACCAATAGCGAGCGAGAGCAGAGGGCGGCCGGGCGGAAGCGGCCGCGGCGGCGCTGAGGGAGCGCGGCGGGTGGAGCGGGCAGGTGAGGGCGGGAGGGCCCGTGAGGCCTTTGAGGGGTCCGTGCCCTCCGGCAGGATGTGGTTTCGGCTCTTGTCTCTTCAGCACTGACTTGGCGAGCCCCGCCGCGGCGTTTGGGCCTCCCCAGAGCCCGGCTCGGCGCAGGGCGGCGGGTGTGGGCCCTGCCTGGTTTCTCTCGTGGGCGCGGGTGAAGAGAGGAGGCCGCACGAGGAGCGGCTGAGGGCGCTTGGTCTGGTCAGCCTGGAGAAGAGCAGACTGAGGGGGGATCTCACTGCAGCTTCCACCCGAGGGGCAGCGTCTGTCTCTGCCCTCTGTGACCAGTGACAGGGCCCGAGGGAACGGCTGGAGCTGTGCCAGGAGAGGGTTAGGTGGATATTAGGAAAAGGTTCTTTCTCCAGAAGGTAGCTGGGCACTGAACAGGTTCCCCAGGCTCTCCTTGTCACAGCCCCAAGCTTGAAAGAGTTCAAGAAGCCTTTGGGACATGCTCTCAGGAACGGGGGAAGATTGTTTGGGTGTCCTGTGCCGGGCCTGGAGTTAATCCTTGTGTATTCCTTCCAGCTTGGGATATTCTGTGATTCTGGGGAGTTTGCCCGCCAGGCCCCATCTAGGGAAGGGGGTCACCCCTCTCCCTTTGGCTGCCTGGTTTACAGGTTAGTCTTTCATATTTAGGGAAGTGAGTGTTCTGTGTGCTTCTAGAACAGTTAATCTTGCTATAAGTAAGCCTTAGTGAAAAGATAACATGGATTTGCCAGGAGTTTCCCATATCCTGCACATGAATTTGTCTCTTCTGTCTCATTTTCTCACTGCCACCTGCCATATTTTGTCTTTGTTTACATTTATATTATAACCTTGTGACACAAATTATTAACATTTGTTTCTTGGGTCCTAGCCTAGGAACTTCATCTGGCAAAAATGGGTGAACCTCAGCAAGTGAGCGCCCTTCCTCCACCTCCAATGCAATATATCAAAGAATACACTGATGAAAATATCCGTAAAGGGCTGGCTCCAAAGCCACCTCCGCCTGTCAAGGACAGCTACATGATGTTTGGGAACCAGTTCCAGTGTGATGATCTGATCATTCGGCCCCTGGAGAGCCAGGGTATCGAACGGCTGCACCCGATGCAGTTTGATCACAAAAAGGAGTTAAGGAAACTTAACATGTCTATCCTGGTCAACTTCCTGGACCTCTTGGACATCTTGATAAGGAGTCCAGGGAGTATAAAACGAGAGGAGAAACTGGAAGACTTGAAACTGCTTTTTGTCCACGTGCATCACCTGATAAACGAGTACCGGCCTCACCAGGCCAGGGAGACGCTGAGGGTGATGATGGAGGTGCAGAAACGGCAGCGCCTGGAGACGGCCGAGCGCTTCCAGAAGCACCTGGAGAGAGTGGTGGAGATGATCCAGAACTGCCTGGCTTCCCTGCCCGATGATCTGCCTCACACAGAGGGGGGACTGAGGGTCAGCGTGGAGCCCATGGATGCTGATGATGGCAGCGGCTGCGCTGGGCAGAGCGAAAAGCAGAGGGAGCGTTCCGGTGGCAAGAGAGATCAGGTTTTGGACAAGGATGCAGCAATGTGCAGCATTATTGATGAAATGACATGAAGCAAACAGCTGGGCTTGTTACTGCACAGCAGTGAGAGACAGAAGGGGTTCTGAGGAGAAACGTATTTTGTTTTGCTGTTGTACAAGCAGACAAAGCATTTGTTGTGCACCTGTTGGAGGTTGGGAGTGACTGGGCAGATGAAAATGTTTAAAGTTTTGTGGTTTTTTGGTAAAAATGAAGAAGTCTAATTTTTGCTAAATGTATTATGTGAGATGGTAGGCACAGATTAAAGTTGGCTTTTCCTGTTGTACCTTCCTTTGTCACTTGCTGCTTGTTTTGGATATGCCATTCTATAATTCTATATGCTGAGTCAAGAGGAAATTCCTACAGAAATAGTGTTTGTTTCTTGCACAAACAACACACAGGAACTTGGGAAATAGGCAGACAAACTCAGATTATATCAAGGCATTCCTTATGGACTGTGTTTGAGGTGAAATCTAAAACAAGTGGGTTAACTGTTGTCCTGTAGCTGTCACATCCTTTTATTGTGTGACCAAAATGTCTTTCCTGGGATCCTGGCAGAGCCAGCCTGCCCTGCCTTTCCCATTTTTGCAGAGCAGTTTCAGGATCCTGCTGGTAATGATCAGAATTGTTCCTCTAGCAGCTCTCTGCAGTTTCCTCAGAAACCACAGGAGCTAAGAGGAAGCCTTTTCTTAAGGTGTTCTGCTTTCAGCTGCTGCATGCAAAAATCACCTTTCATCTGTCTATCACTTCTTTTCTTCAAGTGTGTTGCCAGTTTGTCTCTCAGCTACATTGATCCCTTGGTTTTCCTGATTTTCACTTAAAACACCTGCCAGTTCCGTGCCTCTGTTCTATAAGGTAGTCATGCAAGGCAAGGTTCCAATTTTAGCATCTTCCACTTACTCATAAATAACTCCTTAGTACTTAAATTCACCTGTATAGAACACAGTGAAGTAGTTTAGCTGCTTCAGAAAAGAACATTTCTTGGCCCTTGATCACAGGTGCAGTTCCAGCCCAAACAATCTAAAAAGACAAAGATATCCTTGAGGAGAGGGTGGTGATCCAGGCACAGGGAGTGGCCAGAGGACAGCATTTCTCAAAAGCTGTATTTCAGCATTTTTTCACAGCCTTGAGTTACAGTTTCCACACCACTTTTTCAAGTCTCCTCTCTATTCTGGATGTTTCTGCAGATGCACATGGCATTTTTAAATATGAAAAAAGACTGGCACTCCATTAGACTCAGCTGTGTAAGTTTTCCAAAACCACCAAATTATTGCTGCCAGAGAAAATTTGCCAGAAGATGCTCTGAGTTGCTTCTAAGTATTAGAACCAGAAACTTACGATGAAAAGCTTGAATAGTTCATCCTACAACTCTGCTACTTGGCCAAGCCCTTTCCACTTGCCACAGTCTGCTATGTATTATGTAATCTTTTATCCAAACCCTGTCTGCTGTGGCAAAAGCAGGTGTGGGAAGCAGTCTGGGGCAGTGGATTGCTGACGCTCGTGTCAGCTCAGTGCTGCTGTCAAGTTTCACTTACAGTCATCAAACAGATCTGGCAAAAACGAGAAGCAGATTTGTGTGGTGCTGTGGTGTCACCTCTCAAAGCCCCACCAGCAGGAGCTCAGTGCATTTGTACCCTGCCCCAGCAGCTGTGCTGCAGCACAACAGCCCAACCAAAACAGCCCAGAGTGGACTGAGAGGCACCACAGCTCTGTCTGGAGATGATGTGCTAAGAAGGAAACACAGAAGTTCACAAAGAAGATAATTTTTTTTGAATGAGAAGGGTGAACAGGAGCCTTGTTTGTCACCTTCAGCCAGAATGTTGTCTCACATCTGCCTGACCTGGGTTCTCCTGGTGCTGCTCACAGGTAACCAAGGGGGCAGAAAGAGCTGGGTGGAGGTGGCACACATCAGGGATTCTGAGGGTGCCAAAGAGAATTTTGTCTTGCAGCAGGAAGAGTTGCCACATCACAGAGGCTGCAGTTCTCTGTGTTAAAATAGAACTTCATGGTGGCTCAATAGAGTTCTAATGACCTTTTCTCCTTTGTGAAACAGAAACATGCCCAGGGTATGGTGGTTTTAAAGATGCTGCTTCTTGCTAATGGGCTTTTTTAGACAATGATGATTTGAGCAGAGAACTTCAAATTGTTTTAGAGAAGATGTAAAACAAAGACATTTCACTTTGTGAAGATGAATGCTTAGGTAGACAAGGAAAAGATCAACTGTGGCTTCTGGTATTTCTTAGCTATATGAAATATGAAATAATGTGAAATATTATTGGGACAAATTGATAACTTTTCCTTTTTTTTTTTTTTAATCCTGAGGGAGAAGTCCTAGATTGTTAAGGGCAACAGCAATGAAAACAACAGGTTGCAAAGTGGTAATAATAAAGACAGACAGACATAAAAAACTTTGTGGTAAGATAAATTCAGTAGAAAGAAAAGGGATATTACAGATATTTTTTGTAGTTTTTTTATAAAGCCTTTTATGATGAGTTACATTTTGAGCTTCCTTTTCATGTTAAAGCAGATAAGCTGGTTTCAGAGACTTATTTCTAGTGTAATTTTTTGCTGTCATGAATGGTCTACTGGGTGTTAGGGCTCTTGACCTGAGCAGCGTGACACAGCCTCCAGGAAATGTGACAAATTTATGGGGAAGCAAACAAGTTAAAAATTACATAAGGCTTAGAAGAGGGAATAAGGTAGTGGAACAAAAAAGAGAGTATATATAATATTCCTCAGAAAAGCCCTGAAACATTTCTTCTAATAAGAATTGACAAAACCTGCCTTGAGGCAAGAGAAAAGGAAATTCATTCAGCAGTGATCATTCAGATGAAACCTGCAGTTCAGTTCATTGAAAGGAGGGAAGAGTTTCCCACAGTGGTTTTGAGAAAAGTCAATGTCTTACTGTTCCCTTATGTGTGTGGCTTGGGTTAAATGCACACAAAGGAAAAAGAGCCAAGAGACTGCACCTGGCTCAAGAGAAGCCACAGAGTTTCTTCATGTCATTACATATGTGAAGAAGCTGCAGAAAATATTATTTCTCTGAACATGTCCCTGGCCTGATCGTTATCCCTCACTGCACCAATCCTTCCAGGACACAAATATCTCTTTGTGCAAAATCCAATCCAGCAAAGCCTGGTGTTCTTTGAGACATGGGAGGTTTCAGACATGCAAGATGCACAAGAAGCTTCCACTTGCCCTGTGCTCTATAACTGTTTGTCTTTTTGTCCACAGGCTCCACAGTATCAGAAATAATTGTGATAGGAGAGGTGGGGCAGGACATCACCGTGCCCTGCCGCTACAGTGTCCGGAACAGAAACAGCATCACATCCATGTGCTGGGGTCGGGGCAGCTGCCCCAGTTCAAAGTGTTCCCAGCCCATTATCTGGACAGATGGCTGGAGGGTGACAGAGCAGCACAGCAGCAGGTACCAGCTGAAAGGGGACCTCCAGAGGGGGGACGTGTCCCTGACAATTGTGGATGCCAGGGAAGCAGATTCTGGGACCTACTGCTGCCGTGTGGAGATCCCAGGGTGGTTCAATGATCAACGGACTAATCACAAGGTTGTGGTGAGGAAAGGTGAGTGCAGAGCAGTGCTCTTGTGAGTACCATTGTGGTGGATCTGCTCCTGGGTCTGGACTTCAAAGCTTGTGGTGGGAATGATTTCTGCAGTCATCCATAAGACTGATCTTGAGGACCTTGCACATCTGCTGTTAGTGCTACCTCAATTAAGCTGCCTTTGGCAATGTTGTTATCCCACTGCAGTCACTGCAGGTAAAAAAGGATGCGATGCTTTCATGGAGCATTCTTAGAGACACCAAAGAATTTAAAAGGAAGGGCAGCATAAAGTATTCATCCAAAGCTTTATTGCTGCACCTTTGTCATTGAAAGCTGTGTTTGATTTTCCTTGCTTCATTCCCGATTAAAGCTCAGGGATGCAAAATTGGTATAGAGAAGCTTTTTATGCATTCTTCCTTTGATTTTTAGTTTTTCCCTTGCTTGTGATACTATTTAGAATAAGTGGCTGACAAATGTACTTGTGCTTTGCTAGCAAATTTTTATTATAAAAACACTGTCTCTTTCTCAATACACAAATGCCCCATAAGGTTACTTATGTGTTGATTTTGTTTTATATTTTAACATCAGCAAGGATCTCTACTGCAAGTCCTCACACTTACACCTCTGAACAGACCTCAGGTAATTTTTATCCGAGTGTTAATAGCATATACAAGCCACATTGCAAATGGGGAATCAGGAAGGAAAGAAAAATATGATAGATGATAGAAATGTTTGGCTTAAATTTATTAAACATTACCAAAGATCAGAACTTGGATTTAAATTCTGCTTGATATTATACAGAAGGAATATGTATATTTGGGAGAAAGCTCCTTCCAGGTGTGATGCTTAAGTAGATGTTTTAGTGGTGCTGCAAACTTTGCTTTTATTTGACTGTTGTTTTGGTTTGTTGGTTTTTTTTGTGGTATAAAATCTCACCTCATCTTCTAGAAATGCATCTCATGAATAGTAAAACACAACTTTTAGGAGCTGGATGTACTCACTATTTAATCAGAACTGTTTTATTGGACTAGCTCAAAAGAACATCAAATTAAGGCTCCTGCCTCCTGTAACAGTCAGCAGCAGATGATTAAGGAGGATGTTAGAAAAAGGACATTAATTTTGTGACACAGTGCCAAATTATTGTTCCAGCCTGCTGTAAGGTGTGTCCCTGAGGCTGCCCACAGCCTCTGTGCACATTTAATAATGTGAGGTCCCTCATTGCAGGGGAAGAGACAGTGCTCGGCTATTCCTCACTTGTTTTCTCCATTCTCTTCACAAAAGGATAAACTTCTATCATGAACCTGCTCAGCTGCATCTTTCCAGTCTGAAAAAGACAACTTCAATTCCCACTACACAAGAGAAACCTCATGGTGTAGCAATGGCTTATTCTCTGGATTCTGAAAAAAAACCAAGAATCAGGGATGCCATTTGTATTTCTCCCTCTGTCTTGGATGTTTTCAGCTAAGCAACTCCAAATTGGTGTAACAACAGTTGCATTTCCTTTTTGGAAGAAGAAGTGAAAACTTTCTCAGACAGTTTCTATTCTAGTTGCAAATAACATTGATTCCAATCTTAGAACTCAGGGATTTTCTTATCCCTGTGACCTCTTCCTCAGCTGGTGGTGGAACAATGTTTGAAGTTTTCAGGTTACAAGGTAGTGTGTGCATGTTCACACTGAGGAGATGGGAAAAGGCAGGTGGCCACGTGCCTCTGATTTAGAAATACTCT